CTCAGATATTTGGATTAAACAACCACTTGGTATGGGCCAAGCTGCGAGCAAGCATATTGAATACATGGATTTCCTTGAAACAGGCTGACAAGAAAATCAGAGAATCCAACTTCTAAGAATGTCATTTCAGCCGGGGAGAAGACTCAGTGGAATAAGCGCTTCCCTGGCAAGCACAAGGGCCTGAGTTCAATCCCCGATTCTAAAAAAAAAAAGAATGTCATTTCATTGGGCTGGGGGGTCCTAAACATTCCCAGCTTGGCTGCTGAAAAATAAGCAAAATAAAAAAAAAAATGATTCTTGGTCGGAGAAAACAAATAAAATAGATAATGAATAAATGCTTCTCTAGATATACACAGATTAGAATGTTTGTATTTATTTATATTAATAAATATAGGCAGTAAAGTTACTATAAGGATGTTTAAGATTAATTTTTTATCAACTATATAGTCATTATTGAGTACATAACAAAGACATTTTATGAATGTTGATAAAGTACTATTATTAGGCTCTAAAGTTACAACTTGACCTCCTTTATCCAAGTTTTAGAAAGATAATGGCTGTTCTATCTTAGGTGATAAGAGCAATGTAATTCCTCGTTTTATGGTCTTTACAAGATGTAAGGGCATGGTTTTTTATTTACAGTTACTATCTCAGCAAATGACATGCAGTTACCTTAGCTAGCTATCAGAACCCTTATATAGCTCAGGTTTCTTTCAAACTCAGTCCTCCTGCTTTAGCCTTCCTAATGCTGTTATTCCAGATAATATGCCACTAGGGTTTTTTGTTTTGTTTTGTTTTTATTTCTTTCTTTTTTATTTCTCTTTCTCTCTTTTGTTTTTCTTTTTTAAATAGGAAAGTTGAGATTGGTGTTGCGTTGGTAGGGGAAAACACAAGGCAAAGGGGCACTATGGAAGCCACCTTCTAGTACAAAGTAATAATCCAGGGGGCTGGTGAGATGGCTCAGTGGTCTAAGGCACCTACTTGGAACAAGCTAAGCTTAGCAAAGCACAGGAACCATGGTTCAATCCCCCAGCACCACATGCCAGCCAGCCCCGCCCCCTTGTGGGCTGAGCTGGACACACACACACACACACACACACACACAAATAAATAAATAAATAAAATTTAAAATAAAATAAAATAAAAAACTTGAAGTCCTTCTGCCTCAGCCTTCAAGTGTACTGGGGTATACCATCACATGTAGCTATTTTCTTAGCACTCTCTTTTTTTTATATTTTTTTTTTTTTTGCGGAACCGGGGATTGAACTCAGGCCCTTGCACTTACCAGAGAAGCACTTACTCCACTGAGCCATCTCCCTGGCCCCTATTTTCTTAATAAATATAAGAACTTCATCATATAGCCACTTACATGTTCAGATTGTCCTTGTTTCTAAGATAGGTTGATTTTTTTATTGATTCATAATTACTTTAGTGGTTTTTTTGTTGTTTTTTAGTAAGGGTTTGTTTTTTTTAATTATTTGGTACAGAGTCTTGATACTCTACTGACCCTCCAGTCTCAGCCTCTCCCTAGCACTGGGATTATAGCTATGCACCACCATCCCTGGCATGCAGTACTGGGGATTAAACCCAGGTCACTAAATTTGTTCACTGTTATTGTGGTGATTGAATAAATTAACACATCTCAGGTGCTTAGAGAAGGATCTGGCATAGGACGACTATTGTATTTTGTAGAGATAATAATCAGCTGTCTCTTTTTTCTTCCTTAGTAACTCTCTCTCCTTTGAGAAGGCATATTGTGAGTATAGGCTCAACAGAATTGAAAATGCCTTGAAGACAATAGAAAGTGCCAGCCAGCAGACAGTCAAGCTAAAGGAGCTGTATGGACAGGTGGTGAGTACTGCTTTGATCACCTGTTGATCATTTTTATCCTGCATGAGCATGCCTCTAGCATGGTCAGGGGTAAGAGCCTAGTCTATCCTGAAGTTGCCAGAAACTAACCAGCCAAACTAGTTCTTGAGGTCTGAATATTTTTTCCTCTAGTATTGGAAATCAAACCCAGAGGCATTCTCCCACTGAGCTACACCCCCAGGCCTTTTAAAAATACTGTTATTTTAAGAGAGGGTTTTGCTGAATTACTGGCAAATTTGAGGCTGGTCTCAAATTTATAATCCTACTATATCCTCCCAAGTAGCTAAGATTACAATCATGTGCCACTGTGCCTGGTACATTTCTGCCTTTTGATCTTCCTTTGAAAGTGATAGGCCAGGTTTGGTAGTACACACCTATAATCCCAGCACTCAGAAGGCAGAGGATCACCTTAAGTGTGAGGCTAACCTGGGCTCCATAGTGAGTACAAGGTCAGTCTGAATTACATAGGGTGACTGAAAAATAAATACATTTTTTAAATGAAATGATAGAAAACAGAGATGCTGTTGATAAGAGGGCAGAAATGTATAAACTCGTTAAATTTTAGAGTTGATGAAAGGTACAGTTTCTATTGTATGTGGTAGAAGATTAACCTAGAGGGGTAATTGTTACTGTCCTGTAAAAAAAGATTGATTCAGCAACACCTTAAGAACAAGGGATGGGAGTCTCAGAGGGGGAAAATGATATAGGATGGAAGAAATAAAATTAGGTAGATTTTAAAAATTGTACTTTAAAAAAAAAAAAAAAAACATTAGCTCCAGAACATGAGCCCGGTTTATTTACTTTTTCCTCCTCCCAAAACAGCAAACCTGGGCAGCTCCCTGTCAGCTCACAGCACCTGCCTTTCCCTGATATTCACACAGGCCTCGGCCACCCATGGAGGATCTCCCTTTTGGCATTTCCCCTGGGAACAGGCCATTATCTCACTGGGGGTGTCCCACCCCCTACCTTCTCAGAGTAAGACTAAAGACAAGACTAAGACCACAGCTTATGAATTCCATAGATTGCCACCTCCCTGGACACACAGAGGGTTCCCCAGCTCCCGACTGCACGGAGCCTCATTTCTCTGAGCACCCACACCCCACTCTTGAGTAAGTCCTGTATGTACTGCTAAGAAAGCCTTCTAGGCCTCCTCATTTTTATTTATTTTTTTATTTTTATTTTTATTTTATTTTTTGGCAGAACCGGTTATTGAACTTGGGCCCTTGCACTTGCCAGGCAAGTGCTTATTCTACTGAGCTACCTCCCTGGCTCCCAGGCCTCTTTAAAAAAGACAGAAAACCGAGGCAGGTGGAACATCTTGAATTCCAGGCCAGCCTAAACTACACAGTAAGATCCTGTCTCAAAAAACCAAGTAAAACAAAACAAAACAAACAAACAAACAATATCCCGACTAGGGCTGGGGAGAGGGCTCAGTGGAGTAAGTGCTTCCCTGGCAAGCACAAGGGCCTGAGTTCAATCCCTGGTTCTGCCAAAGAACAAACCGAAACCAACAACAACAAAAAACAAACCAGTTTGAATAGCCTATTGTGTCTCTTCACAATAGTCCACCTTATACTGTAGGATCTATTTTCTTTTTTTGCAGTACCAATAATTGAACTTGGGACCTTGCACTTGCCAGGCAGGCACTTATGTCACTGAGCTATCTTCCCAGCCCCTACTGTCTATTTTTTAATATTCATTTATTTATTTGTTTATTGCAGTACCGGGGGTCGAACTCAAGACCTTGCACTTGCAAGGCAGGTGCTTATGCTGCTTTTATATTTTCCTCTCTTTTTACTTGGCCCAAACAGAGCCTGTTTTTTTTTTTCCTCTACCTTTAATAAATGTGAAACTTTGCCACCATTAAAAGAAAAGGATGCAAGCAGGCACAGGGGCTGGTGGTTAGACCCCCAGGTCTGCTGTGAGGGCCCCGCCCTCGGGGCTTGCTGAGATAGTGATTGAGACTGGGCATGGTGGCATGCTCCTGTAATCCCAGCACTTGGGAGGCTGTAAACAGGAGAATCACTATGAGTCTGATCTAGTAGTGAGACCCTGAGCACCCTGTAGGCCCTTCCCTAAATTACAGAAAAAAATAAAAGGAACAACTTGAATAAATAAGCAGAACTGTGAGGTTTTGAGATTACTCTGGGGGACATGCCCCGTAGCTCAGTTCTTTAAGTGGCTGCTTCAACAAAGCAGTCAGGCTCAGGTTGCTTGGGTTCGATCCCCACAACACAAGACAGGCAGTCATGCCTTGAAGGCATTCCGAGCAAAAAAAAAAAAAAAACTTCTGAGATTACTCTGTATAATAGCTGATCCTAAGGAACAGAAATATAAGATATATTATGAATTCTATGAAATAATTATATTAATAGTTAATTTTGTCCCTGTTTATTGGGGACTAGTAATTATTTTGTATTGTAAATTTTTTTTTTTTTGCGGAACCGGGGATTGAACTCAGGCCCTTGTGCTTGCCCGGGAAGCACTTATTCCACTGAGCCATCTCCCCGGCCCCACGACCCATTTAGATACTTGACTGATTTCAAGAAAAAAGGTTTAAAGAAAATTCCTTTTTTTTTTTTTTTTCCTGTCATGGGAATTGAACCTGGGGCCTTCCCACTTCCCAGTGAACTGTATCACAATTATTTTGAAACAAGGTCTCAATAGTTATTAAGTTACCCAGACCAAGCTCTAATTTGGGACTCTTGCCTCAGCCTCCCACGTTGCCTGTCTCTACCGCAACTTTTCTAAATTGAATCATTTATGAATCTGTAAATGGTAAAGATACATTTTTTGAAGGTGTCATTCAATACTTTTGAAGCACAATATAAGTTTAAAATTACAGAAGATAAACACGATTGTATTCTGCTGAATTAGATTTCTCATTTAATGATTTCATAGAACATTAATGTGTCATTAGTGATGTAACACTATTATTATTATTATTTTTTTTTTTTTTTGGTACTTTTTGTTGTTCAGCTGTACCGTTTGGAACGCTATGATGAATGCTTATCGGTATATAGAGACCTTGTCCGAAACTCCCAAGATGATTATGATGAGGAAAGAAAAACAAACCTTTCAGCAGTTGTGGCAGCTCAAAGCAATTGGGAAAAAGTGGTTCCAGTGAGTATTCTCATACACCCATGCAGCTGTAGGATAATCCTCACACTTGGTGTTTGACTTGTGTTCTGCTCTGTGACAGGAGAACTTGGGCCTCCAAGAAGGCACCCACGAACTGTGCTACAACGCCGCGTGTGCACTGATAGGACAAGGCCAGCTGAACCAGGCAATGAAAATCCTCCAGAAGGCTGAAGGTTGGAAGTTTGTTAAGGTTGCTGTTAATATCATATGGATACAGCTTGTAAAGTACCTTCAAAAATCATATTTGATGTTTATGAAATTATTAAATGGAAATAGTATTGAGGCAGTGGGAGTTACTCAGAGTTCATCTAGACTCTTGTTTTTCACTATTTCTATCCAATCAAATAGTCCACTTGTCTTTCAGTATATTCCACCTTAAAAATTGAACATTGAAGATTAGCCTTTTTAGCAAACTGTTGATTGTTACATGTAAATAAAATGACTTAATGTTAAGCACTTACAACAGTGTAAGATACAGTAAAACATTTAGCATTAGTTATTAGTACTATTTGATTGTTTCTACTTTGGTAGTAATATATGCCTCAGCATACATGTGCAGCAATGTACTCTACATTTCTGTATTTATAACACCATTGAAGCACATTTTTAACTCTAGTATGTTTTTACATGCAATATTTACATGCTTTAAAGCTTTTGATTTTTTTTTTTTTTTCTTTCTTTTTCTGATGCTGGAGTCGGGTAGAACCCATAGCCTCTTGTATGCTAGGCAAGTGCTGTACCACTAAGCCTCACCCTCAGCCCTTTAAAGCTTTTAATTAAGGTAAAAAGGGATTCATGGGTATAGCCCAGTGCTAGAACATGAACTTAGCGTACCCAAGGCCCTAGGTTAAGTCCCAACACCAAAAAAAAAAAGATAAAAGCAGAAAGGAAAAAGCTTGGAGGATAACAAAATAAAATGAAATTAGACTTTTCTGTATACATTATCTGGGGAAACTAAAGATGATATTACAGGGACTTCAGTGAATCACGAGTAATAAAAAACAGGTGAAATGGGTCTGCTTTACTGTTGAGTTTTAAAGGTTAAAATAGGAAAGATCAGAGTATCATCAGAAGAAGAATCTTTGTAAGTACTAGAATTTAGGGGCCAGGGACATAGTTTAGTGGTAGAGTGCTTGCCTACTATGCTGGAGGCCTTGGGTTTACTGCCCAGCACCACAAATTAGCATAAAATAGAATTTTACTGGTTGTGGTACCATGTGCCTTAGTGCCAGCATTTGGAAGGCTCAGATGGAGACCATTTGTACCTGGAAGTTCAGAATCAGCCCAAAAAGAGAGTTCCTTGATGCTTCTTGTTGTCGGAGGCACAGAAGAGCATTCTTACACCGCGCAGGCTCGAATGTAGAAGTCGTCTAGACCGTACAAATTGGGCAGTTTGATCATGTGTAAGATTTAAAAGTTTGCATCATCTTTGATCCATGAATTCCATTTCTAGAAATGTATTTTAAGGAATAATTTGATAAATTCATGCTTGTATCTGTGAATATTAATTAAAAGGATATATATATAATATAGAACAAAATTTTAGAAAAAGCTTTATTTCCTTTTCCATTAAAGGATAGGCTATGATTTTCTGTAATCCCAAAATGGATTGCTGTGTAGTAATTAAAACTAATAATGTAAAAAATAATATTGACCCATTAATATTGACCCATATTTATTATAACATAAAGATGTCCATAGTATATTAAATGGGAAAAGAGAGTTGATAGAGTATGTGGAATATTTTACTTTGATTTTAACGTGCAAGTTTATGTGATAGGTAAATAGCTGCAGTTTTAGCAGTCTTTTCTTTCTAGGTGGTGTGATTATTATCTTTACATTTTTCTGTTTTTTTTTTTTTTACATATTTTAGGGAATGGTCTAGAGGGTGTTCAGGGTCTCACTACTAGATTGAATTTATAGTGATTCTCCTGTTTACAGTCTCCCAAGTGCTGGGATTACAGATGCGCCACCACTCCCAGTCTTAATCACTATCTCAGCACGCCCCAGGGGCGGGGCCGACACGGCAGGCCCAGGGATCAAATCCCTGGCCCCCGCACCTGCTTGCAGGCACTTTAATCTGCTGAGCTATTTGACCGGCCCCATTATGTTTTGTAGTCAACA